ATCATTTCACCTCTTAACCTTCTCTTCTCCTGGCTTAATATACCCAGCTCCCTAAGTCACTTCCATTAACCATGATGGAAAATCCTCTTCCAACCCTATGCCTATGGGCCTTCAAGTCGCCTGCTAACCTATGGCAACCCCATGCATTTCATAGGTTTTTCTTAGGCAAGGAATCTTCAGAGGTAGTTTGGCCATTTTGTTCCTCTGAATTCTGTACTTCGTTTCCACCTTTCATGTTTTCCAGAGATCATGGAGATGGATAAAGAAAGTGGAGAGAGCACCTCAGTTCCTGCCCGACCGCCCCTTCTTCCTCCACATCACCCCAAAGGTATGTCATGTCACTCTGAAGTTCATTTTGTGACTTAATTTATGCCACCATCTCACCAAAGACCCTGGCATAGGACTGGAAAGAATATTAAAATTGTATCATCATTATTCTTTTGTGAGTCACCTCGAGTTCTAATCAAAGAGAAAGGCAACATATAAATAAATGAAATCAAGATATAAAATGAAATCCCTTAACATGCCAAAACATAATGGCAGGAAAAGCTGCATAGAATAAGTCCCGAACTGCAAATAGATGTTGAAAATGTCAGTTTTCAAAGATTTTCTTATAGCAGGAAGAAAACTGCAAAAACCATTCCTTTGGGAATAAAGCCAGCAAAGAATTTAATCTTAGTGCTTTGTGATTCTTGGGTCGCACATGGGACTTTGTGATTGTGTATCTTCAAGCCATTTCTGACTTGTAGTGGACCTATCTTGGCCAGATTTGTTCAGAGAGGGCTTGCCCTTGCCATCCTCTGAGGCTGAGAATTTGGGCTTCCATAACTGAGCAGGGATTCGAACCCTGATCTCCCAGGATTCTAGCCTGACACTCAAACTATGACACCATGCTAAGACTTGCTTTTATTAATTCTCTGCCATGATTTGATCCTGTTTGCATCTCAGGTACCCCTGGGGGACAAAAGACTTCTCCGTTTCCTCGACCCCGGCCAGTTCCCCCTCTCCTTCCTCCAGTCTTGCCTGTTCAGCCCCCTTTCCCAGTCACCGTCCCACAGCCTGAGAGTGTATATTTGGAAGAAGACCCACCAGATCAGACCTATGTGAATGACGAACGTAAGTAATGGAGTGTTTTCTTCCGCGTTTCCCCAGCTTAGACAGAACTCCTGGAAAATTCTTTGTCGGAATTCCAAATATTCCAAAACACTGTGGAATTCTCTATCATCAACTGAGCTACGCAGGAACTTAGTTATGTAACTTTGGGCCTGTGCAGACTGCTAGAAATAGTGCAAATTAAGTCCACTTTAACTGTCCTGGCTCAGTGCTAGGGAATCATGGGAATTGTATTTTTTTTCTGGGACATTGAGCCTTCTCTGTCAGAGAGCTCTGGTGCCACAATAAACTACAGTTCCCATGATTCCTAGCACTGAGTCAGGGCAGTTAATTTGCACTTTTTCTTGCAGTCTGCAAATGCCCTAAGTAGTGGCTCCTGACTTAACCTCTCCAATCCCCATTTACTGGGCAGCAGCCACTGCAATTGACAGGGATCTGTTCTCCTGTCAATAGGGAAGCAGGTGAGTGATGTTTCCACCCTTTCCTATAAGCATTCCCCATTGCAGCAAGCTGAAAGAGGATCCTTATTGCAATTCCCCTTTATATCAGAGACGTTTTGCAGGAAGGCAGGGTGGAAACGTCAATCTGCCACAACCTGATCAATAGGGGAACAAACCTCCATTGACTGCAGTGGCTGCTGCCTGGTTAGTGAATACCCCTTAGTTCCACTTTAAGTATTGCAAAGCAATTTTTAAAAGGTCAATTTTAATTATTATTTTTTTAATACTTGATTTTTCCCTTTTGGTTTCCAAGATGTGGCTGAGATGAAACAAACCAAATCGCCCAGAGGTAAGTAAATCTGATGGATTATTGAGAACCATTTAAGAGGTGAGCCCTTGTCGCATATGCTTCAACTGCCCCAATTTGACAGAGACATTCTGGATTAACTCTCTGCAATCCCACTTTTTCAGCTTCTTATAAAATGTCCCAGTTTCTCTTTCCTTTCCCATGCTCCTCCTCTGTCCTCAGCTTTTCTTCAGTTGCTGCAAACTAAGTTCCAAAGGACAAAAGTGAGGAGAGAGGAGATGAGATGACAGGCAAAAGCAAACTTCTGCAGCCTCTCCTAGCTTGTGTGATCTTTCTCATTAATACCTTTTGCTACCTTGTCTATAAACTAATGTTGCTTGAGCATATAGATATTCCAGCTTTCATCTGTGAAATGTTGGAGTGCATGAAAGAGGAAAGATTCCCTCCTTTTGCATTCTGTCCAACATTTCACAGATGAAAACTAGAATATGTGTGGCCAAGCAACATCGAGTGTGGTCAAAATGGCAAATTGTATAGGTTTCGGGGTGTTGTAGAAGAGGCAAATGACGGGGCAGCCCTTCCAGGCCTAGAGTCTAAAACAGTTTCCCAAACGTTGGTCTTCCAAATGTTTTGCACTTCAACTCCCAGATTTCCTGGCTGTTGGCAAATCTGGCGAGGGCTTCAAAGTCCAAAACACCTGCAGGAGCCAAGTTTCAGAACCACTGGCCTAAAGGTAGTCTCCCCTTTCCAGCTGCCAGCATATCGCGTGGTGGCCCCAGCGTGCCAAAGACAGCGGAAAGGACTTCTTCCCATCTCGTAATGTCATTACCCAGAAGCTTCTCCATTGGTAAGTCAATGCTTGCATGTGGTGGAGAAAAATGCATACCTACTGCAGAGGAATCTCTGGTTACACAGAATCGTAGAATAGAATAATAGAATCCTAGAGTTGTAAGAGACCCCAAAGGCCATCCAGTCGAACCCTATTCTGCCCTGCAGGAAGACACAGTCATCTATTACAAAGATCCCAGCAGGGTGAAAATCACTATTACAGCTTGGGTCATAGAATGATGGAATCACCGGACCTTAGAGTTGGTTCTGACTTGCCAGACCCAGAAGGCATCCCATAATAATAATAATAATAATAATAATAATAATAATAATAATAATAATACTTTTATTTATATCCCGCTTGCCACCAGCATACCAAGTGACACCCCTTTTGACTTGTCACTCAGTCTGTTCCACGTTCCCGCACACCTCTAGTGATGCCCCTATCTAGGTGTGAATGACTTTCAACATTTCATCCTCTGTTGTTTTTGTTATCATTGTTGTTGTGTGTCTGCAAGTCATTTCTGACTTATAGTGGCCCTAAGGTGAACCTATCATGGGGTTTTCTTGGCAAGATTGGCTCAGAGGAGGTGTGCCATGGCCTTCCCCTGAGGCTGAGATAGTGTGACTTCTTGCCCAAGGCCACCCAGTGGGCTTCATGGCTGAGCCAGGAATCGAACCCTGGTCTCCAGAGTCATATTCCAACTCTCAAATCACTACACCACAGTGGCTCTACGGTGCTGGCAGACTAAAAGAAAATGCCATCATGGAGCAGGATTCTTATTTGGGAAGGCATTGCCCTCATTTTGCCCCCAGCCCCCCATTACATCTCTACCTAGTTCCCAACATTTGGAGACTTAATCCACGCTGGCTTCTCACTAAGGCCCTGATATAGGAATGGAAAGGACATTAAAACTGTATTCTTTTGTGAGCCACTTTGGATCCTAAGCAAGGAGAACGGGGGCGTATAAATAATTGCAACAAAGCGATGTAAAATAAAATCCCTTTTCCCTTTTGCAGGGATGTCCGAAGAACTGGAACGAAAGCTTCAGGAGCGGAGAGCCACCCTACAAGAATGACGGAAACGGCATCCTTGTCAAAACACCCACAAAAAGCTGAGAAAGGATGGCTATGGTTAGGGTGGCGCATGTGATGATTCCCGGGGGAAACGTCCCTAGGGACCTCTGTGTCCTTCTCTCCAGACAATCCCCTTCTCTCTTTTCAAGTGACACCGCTATGGCGCTGCATCTCAACAGGATCTCCGTTCTTCCCTGAATTCTTCTCTATCACTCATGGGTAGACATCTTGTCCAGGGACACTAGACTAAGCCAGTCTTCTCAAAAAGCAAATGAAAAATACTCAAGGAAATCCTATATGTCTCATGTAATATGCACTCTCTCAGGGGCATCCCTATGGAACACCCTAAAATGGGGTGACACCCCTGCTCCCCAAATCTCTGCCTTTTGGCCTAAGAGGCATTCACCTTCTTCCCCCTTTAAAATGCTGGAGCTCAGTAGAAGAGATGCTGAAGGCTCAGTGGATATTAAAAGGAGAGGCTTTGGGGGTTTTAAGACATCTTACTCTTTTAAAATTTCCTTTAGAAGCATTGCATTTTACCAAATTTTCCCTTTAACCACATGAAACAGTGTACACGTAAATACATTTAAGCTGTGCATCTGATCTTGTAATTTAAAGATGTATCACTTTCATTGGGCTAGGTATATATATCACAACTATTGCCATTGTGTTACATGTTATCCCATCTTGTGGCAGCGTGTTGCACAGGACACGGAACAGAAATGTTGGTGATGGTGGTGGTGGTGGGATAGCTCCAGTTTGCAATGGTGTACCCCATCTTCAGACACACAGAGCCAGTTTTTGTGGGTTATGCAGAAGTCTACAGTTTATTGTTAAGGCCAGAAGCTGGTTGTGTGGTGAGACATTAAAACAAACCAAAACATTTTTAACATCTCTATAAGCAGTTGACAGTATGCTGTTTTGAGAGCAAATCAGAGCGTGAGAAAGTTAGCCTTTTTTTTTTTTTACTCCAGCACCCAGAATCCACTGAACATGCTTACTGGGGGATTCTGGGAGATGCGGCCCCAAATACTGATGTTTCCAAGCTTCTCATTCTGGAGCCTTGCTGGTTTCTTCTTGTATTGCTGTCATAGAAACCAATGTAAAATGGAGGGTGACGGGAATAGTGGCAACGTTGTGATCCATTTTGGAGTCCCGCGTTAAAGCTTGGCTACTTGTCTATCCCATAGAAAGGCAAAACATGATTCTGATCCCCACCTCTCATAAAATCATAGGGTTGGAAGAGACCTCAAGGGTCATCAAGTCCAACTTCTGAAACAGCTCAGCTTTCCAGGGTCAAATGACACTAAAGTTGTAATCCTGCATTATTGACATAACTATGAGGATTGAGCTCCATCATCATAGTGATGTCTCATGATGCCACTTTTGCAAATGGCAGCTTTCATTGCAAAGCCAAATTTCCATCCCTCATGGTGGAAGAAAATATGGAAGGAAGAAGAACAGATAGGAAGGACAGTGTGATCCAGCACAAGGTTAGAATATAGACCAAAGTAGGTCCTCCGGATGTTTGGGAACTCAACCCCCAGAATTCCTGACTCTTGCTCTAGCCTCTGGGAGTTGTTGTCCAAAAATCTGGTTGACCAAAGTTTGGGAACCACTGGCCTAGACAGGGATAGAAGGAGGCTCGGCTGTGCTCTGTGGGCCTTATTCCCATGGCTGTCCCTATAGGATCGCAGCCTGAATAGGAAGTATCTGTCTACGTGGGACACCAGAGAAAGAGAAGGAAAATCCTTGATTTTATCATTATGCCAAGAAATAAGATATATTCATTAACAGTGAGACTAGGCAACCAAGTTGCTCAGTGCAATGTGTCCCTATTCAAGAGTTCAGCTTCTCTATCCCACCTACCCATCCTCATTTCCCTCCCCGTGCAACAATTCATCTTCATTCTTTGTTCAGTGAGCATGCCCAGTCCTCACTGCGATATGGGGTTTCTCTTCCCCCAACCCTTTTAGGGCTCTTTCTCCAAAAGAGTTGAAACAAAGGAGACAGGATTCAAAGACATAGATCAGTAGGCAAAGGGATCTTGTAGCAACTTTGAGACAAAGGATTCTATCACATAAGGCTAAAAAGCGAGATTTGAACAGGGCATCTTCAGCTGGTACTTAT